ATTAAAAATAATAAAACACTTAATTCAAGCTGTGATTACCTTTTATTTGATCATTCTGTGAACATTTAGTGAGACATGCAGAACTGAAAGAGGATGACTCATCACATCGTGTATCGCTGCTGCCTTTAGTGCTTACACAACAATAATAAGTTGGTCATTTTTATTTATTTAGCGCTTTTCACAGACCAAAGTCACACAGAGCCCTTTACAATGCTCCAGTAATGACCATTTATTCCACAAACCGTGATGACGGAAATGAGACGCTGAGCACACAGGTGTAAAAAAGCCCCTAATCGTCTCTATGCACTCCCTCAAGACATTCAGACGTATTGTATTTGTTTTTAGTGTAGGAGAAACCGGAGCACCAGGAGGAAACCGGAACAGACACAGGAGAACATGAAAACTTCACAAGAGAACGTGGAATTTAACTCAGGGCCTTCTTGCTAATAAGAGGGCGGCACGGTGGCTGAGTGGATAGCACTCTCGTTCCTGGGTTCGAAGCCTGGTCGGAACAGGGCCTTTCTGAGTGTAGTTTGCATGTTCGCCCTGTGTCTGCGTAGGTTTCCTCCAGGTGCTCCGGTTTCCCCTACCACTAAAAACATGCAAAATAGGTATGAATGTAAATGAGAGAGTGAGTGGATGGTCCAGTGTGTTCTGGACTCGCTTCTGTCATCACCGTGTGTGGAATGATTGGAACAATATCTGACTCTGAACATTGTAAAGCGCTTTGGGTGACCTTGGTCTGTAAAATGTGCTATATAAATAAACATTACTTAGTTTTAGGACATATTTTTGAGAGTCGTCTGCGGTGGAAGTAAATATAGTCTTAATGTCATAAATACATGACTCTCTGGGGGTTGAAGGCCTGCAAAGATAGGTCAGTGCATATTTTCTATTTATTTCTGTATTGCCCTAAATCATAACAGCAGTCATACAGCAGGACTTTACACAGTTGTCGATTCGCCAACAACAGATCAAAGAATCGAACAGTTCTAACAGGAGGAAATACAATGATATCAAACATATAGCAGGGCTGTTGCATAGGGAGTGGGATGACCATTGACCATAAATAATAATAATAATCTTCATCCCACTCCCCTCCAAGCTGTTTTTTCTTTTCTTTGTGGACACGTTGTAATGATGTGTTAATTTTGTATAGCATCGTAATGAATTTCTATTTTTCTTGTGTTGTGTATTGTACTGGCTTGGAATAAACTAAACTAATCTTTATTCCAGACTAAAAATCCATATAAAAGACAAAAACACAACTATAAAATATATTGATAAATCTCCTTAAATTTCCCAGATTATGACTGTCCTTAGACCCTTCTGCATCGGCAAGAAACTACTAAAACACTCAAGGAGGCCATCCAGCATTGTGTTTATTCATGATTAAATAAAATAATGGTTAAAGTTAATATACAAAAACACAAAATAAATATCCAACTATAATCTACAAAATTCAAAAGTGTTACTACATTGTCTCTGCTCCTGTTTTTCAAACGTTTGTCATTTTGGATGTATTTCGTCTACATATGGTGATTTTTCCCCCCCATGACTGTCCAGCTGTTGCTGTTGCACGTCCCCTCGTCATCACTGGTGCATTCCCCTGTGTGGAGAACATCCTGCTCCTCTCTCCGACGTGTCTGTGCTCTTTTGATTGGCCAGGTGTTGTAGCAGTAGCCGTCTCCCAGCCTCGGTGCCCCTCTCTCTGTGTCACATCCAGGCCTCTGCTGCTGCTTTTGTTCTGCCTCGGACCAAGTGATCAGAGAAGATGTGACTCCCTCCCCCTGCCATCTGCTGCAGCTGCAGAACAAACAACAGCACATATGCATTCAGTCTATATATCTGATGTATGGCGAGGCTTCAGAGCAGTGGTGATTATAGTTATCATACAAAGTACCACCTAAGAAAATACTCGGCTTCCTGAATACCACCCTGGACTCACATTCAGGACGAGAACAGGTCGTAAATAGACTTGCAGTGGTTGTAGGTTATTCTAAATGAGGATTAACCCAAAATAGTGAGAAATGTGGTTGTGATGGTTCCGGTGGAGACACATGTGGGGCAGCCCTGTGTCTGTCATTCCGCCCCAGGGCAGCTATGGCAGACAATATTCCCCAACCACCACCATGAATGGAGTAAATCTATAATTGCACAACATTGTATAATTTTAAACCCTAATACAGCCTCTCTTGGTGTTTTAAAAATTAGTGCATACTTGTTTATACAGCATGGTGGTTGAGTGGGTAACGTTCAGGCCTCAAAGCGAGAAGGTTGTGGGTTCAAATCCTGCCCAGGCCTGAGACTGTGTGGAGTTTAATGTGTCTGTGTAGGTTTCCTCTGGGTGCTCCGGATTGCCCCACATCCCAAATCATACTTCTGCCCCAGCAGAGCATAAAAATCTGAAGATGGGTCCCTAGACGCTGCACTCTCGTCAATTCTGCTCCTCGAGGGTCATACAATAGGGTACCACACTTTGGGAAACACTGGAACATTTTGTCCTGCAGTTCATTCAGATGTTTGACGTTTTATATGTATTATTTTTCTTCTGGTCACATACCAAGGGGAATGGCTCCACCTTGTGGTGTGATGTAAGAACTACATAGATCCTGATCTGACGGAGTTGAGTTTTTCTTTTTTTGCTGCGGCTTATTTCTTTAAACTTAACTAACATTCTCAAAATAACACATACATAATAATACATACACATATCCTATCCTAACCACCCTGTAAGTGTTAAAAACTGTAATCTCTCATGGATTCGTTTTATTGCAAATGTTTCAAGCCTGTCAGTGCATTTACAGTACAATAGTCTACAGTCAGCACATTTTACACACAAAACACATTGTTATGATTTAAACTGATTAGTCGATTCTCAGTAAAATGACCATTCTCTCCAAAACATGTCAGTGTGAAGTCAGGGTGTAAGCCGACATCTGCAGAAACACCAAACTTCATACATTCAGAAAAGAAATTCTGTATCTTACAACTTGACAAACAAAGTAGATAAACAATGAGATGAGGCCTCCCCCGGAACGAGCCAGGTTTGTGGAGAAGATAAGAGCGTTTTAGGATGATGGAATAGCTCACTTCCAAAAACATATATCTCTGTTTTGAAAAAATGTATCGTATTTCTCGAGCTGCGATTGTCAACACTTTGAAATATTTTAAAGAATTTGGTCAAGAAAGGCTGAAACTTTATTTGTATAGCATTAAATTTTGAATTACTATTATCATCTATCTCTAGAAAATGAATTGGTAAAGATAGAATTGTGAGCCTTTCAAAAATGTGTTTTCTAATGGCACAGTTTTTTGCAAATTAACAACAAAAAATAATGTGAATCCTTTAAGCTTCAAATCTGTATAATTTCTGTCTTGTGAAATTTTAGCTGTGAAATTAATAAGATTTCTTATCTGATTATTATCACGTGATAATGGTCTATTCAAATTATAAAATGATTTATATCAATAGTTTTAAACATCTTTGTGTTGTCCTGTTTCCAATTGACACTTGTCACTTTTGTTGTACATATATATCCTGCATGTAACATGTTTGCACATTTCCTTTAAACAATCTGAGTGTCTCTATCCATGCCAAATGTGACATATAAATTTCTCCTATGTGAGATAAATAAAGCACATCTTATCTTATCTTATCTTCTGTAGACAGAACAAGCACACCCCCTTGTGGTCATGTTTGGTACAGGTAAGAATATTATTGTTTATGCGGTAAATGCATAGACTGTATGGTAAATCCCTCAATATATCTTTTATATTTTCGTCACTGTATAAGCAAATTACGTAATATATGATGCACCCACTTACTGTATACGTCGCAATGCATAAAAAGAGTTACAATACCTAAGTTGCAGATAGTTCCACTGCTGTGTGAGTTGCTGAGTCACACGTTTGATTTGGCTGGGTTTAGTTCTGGGTTTTATTGCTGCCAGTGAAAAGATGGATGAAAGGAAGTGGGGAAGAAAAGGTAGAGTGTGGCAGCAGGAGGAGCAGCAGCAGCAGGAGCATCAGGAGCCTCATATGTTGACAATCAGGACCTGACCAAAGAGAAAATGTTTAGGACTATTTATTTACAAAAAGACACAACCCTTTAATGATTTGATTTCATCCAAATCTCAAAGTGCTACCGGTTATAACCCTCTTGTTGTGAGTCTCTCACACTGTTGTGAGACAGTGTGAGTCTCTCTGAATTATAGTTTGACGCAGACGTTCTCAAAGGGAGGGGATCGGGGTGTGGTTATAGCGACCTCCAGTGGTGCGTAATGTTACTGCACTCGTGAGTAAAAGGCAGAAAGAGGTTTGTCACATTATTACATAAAATCGTTACTTTAAACCTATTAAACTGTCATAATAAAGTCTTCCCACTCTTTCTTGGACCATAAGTGACCACAGACAACTGAATGTTTAATGAATGTGGCTTCTAACTGCCCGTTCACATCAAGACTTCATGATATTTTCTAATCTGCCACAAACCGGGATCCTGTTGCGGGACCCCTCTGAGGTGTGGCTGCATGCCACTGGGGCCACTGCTGAGGCTGAGGTGGTGTGGCACCGGGACCTAGTGTTTATATGAGTGAGAAGCAGCAGCTGCTGCCACAGACACTCAGACCCTGCAGAGCCGCAGACTGCAGCAGTGTCTTTATGGGACATGTCCCACTGAAGGATGAGAGAAAAACCCATCCTGATGTAGTGGTCATTATCGAAGTGAATAAGCTGACTCGAGACAGGACAGACTGTGGCTTCATTGGACACAGAGGTGCTGCATGAGTGGCTCGTGCCCCCCTCACGCGGGGTGTTTGTGCCAAATGCGCAGGTTTCCCTCTCTCTCTGTTGTCCCACACTTTGGCTCTGCGTCAGATGATGCGCAGCGTGTGCTCTATAAAGGCACCTGTCCTGGCAGAGCTGTGCGCATCTGACTCTGTCTCCTCTCGCCTCTCTCCTCCCGTGTCCAGCTCCTCGCGCTCTGACCCGTCAGGACCATGAGTTTCTCCAGTGACGCGTACAGCTCCAGCTCGTACCGGAAGATCTTTGGCGATGCCCCGCGCTCCGGGCGCGTGTCCATGGCCAGTCCGTCCCGTGCGCACTCTTCCGGACTCCGCAGTAGCCATCACCGCTACAACGCGTCTCCCATGTCCATGTCCATGTCCTCCTCCGGGATCCGCAGGAGCGCTGCGTCCCGCGTGATGGCCACGCATGACCCTCTGGAGCTGTGCGCGTCCACAGCTGTGACCAACGAGCTGAAGATCGTGCGCACGAACGAGAAGGAGCAGCTGCAGGGGCTCAACGACCGCTTCGTGTCGTTCATCGAGAAGGTGCACAGCCTCGAGCAGCACAACCGCGTGCTGGAGGCAGAGGTGACGCTTCTGCGTCAGCGCCACAACGAGCCCTCACGTCTGCACGAGCTCTACGAGCAGGAGATCCGCGAGCTGCGTGCGCGCGTGGAGGAGCTGACGCACGACAAGAGCCAGATGCACGTGGACTGCGTGCAGATGAACGACGCGCTGGAGCGCTCCCGGGAGAAGCTCGAGGAGGAGGGCAGGCTGCGTGAGGAGGCAGACAACGCACTCAAGGGCTACCGGAAAGACGTGGACGACGCCACGCTCGCGCGTCTGGAGCTGGAGAAGAAAGTGGAGGCTCTGCTGGACGAGATCAACTTCCTGAGGAAAGTGCACGAGGAGGAGCTGCAAGAGATGCAGGCGTCACTGCAGGCCACGCAGGTACGTCCACGCACGAGCACTCTGCTCTGGTAAAGTTACACTCCTATTGCTATGGTAACCACAAGAAACAAGCGCACACAGAGCACGTGTCCGGTTCCCGCTGCGCACGCGCAGTTTAATGAGATAATTAATGACACTGCAGCGCCTCGTGCTCCTGCGCCTCGCGCTCCCGCCCACGCACATTTTTTTTTAATTAAACCTTTATTTAACCAGGAAAAATTCCATTGAGCTTAAGAATCTCTTTTTCCATGGGAGTCCTGGCCAAGAGGCAGCAAAGTTACACATAAAAACAACAGATAGATACAATTACATTAAAAATGACAGCTTACTTCAGCCCCGCGGAACACTTTACATGAGTTTGTACAGTAATAATATCAATGTATGTATGATTGCTGTTCATCCCGTGTCCTCTGTGTCTCACCTGCAAAGTGCGCGTCACTATGTCCGATGAATGAACAACTTTGACGCAGCAGAACGCAGACGTGTTTGTTGATGGGAGAATGTGGGGTGCGCATTAGGGGCGTGGTCGTCCTTCAGCCCGGGCAGATCTGACTTAAACAACTGCACAAGCTGAAGAAGGACTTCCCCATAACTGTTGACTTAACATCTGTAGCTTATAAAGTGGTAATAAATGGGGCAAGTAGCTCAGTTGGTAGAGCATTAGCCTTTGGACCTGAGGATTGTAGGTTCAAATTCACCACGAGTCCTACTTCTTTACTCCCACTGATGACTGCTGTTGTTGTGTCCTTGGGCAAAACACTTAACCCCACTTTGCCTGAAGCCCCCTCTGGAAGATCTCAGCTCCTGTGGACTCATCACCTGCAGGAGGGGCTGGTGCTCTGTGTACTGGGTGCAGCTCTGATTAAGGGGGGGTGGCACACACAAGGGGAAGAGAAACTGGATGGATGGAAGGGTGTGGCTGCCCCAGGCACTGAAATTGTTGGTCCCCCTTTTCTAATCAAGCTACAGTGCATTGCATCTCTTTGAACAGTATGAAAAGTCACTGCAGAGTATCATTCAACATAAACGTGAGGAAATATCATACTCAGGAGTAGTGCAAAACGAGCTCCTCCAACCTCAGCCCAATGCAGTACAATAATGTAACATCAATACCACATTTGAGTGTCCTTTTACAGCAGAACAGAAAACTGCGACTGTGATGGACATCAAATCAATTGTCTGCAGTGAGAAGTGATTGCTCTAAAGCAGTGGCTGCAAGGAAGATTCCTCGGGGGGAATAGTATTGTCATGTAAGCTATTGACAGCACAGCAGCAGAGGCAGCAGCAGCAGCAAAAGGCCTGAATCAGCAGATCCTTCAACAGCTCTGCGCATCACCTCCGGACACACCACACCTTATACATAAATGCATATGGCAACAGCGCGAAGATCGAAAAGAAGGGAGGGATGTGCACGCGTTGGGGAATAGATGGGGCCTTTCAGCTGTCCGGGCTATCGGTTTTCTCAAGTTTATGGGCTGCAGATATCCTCCCATTAGAAGTAGCAGCTTCAGCCCAATAGTTGTGCAGCTTTATTTCTCAGACTGGGAATTCATAGGTCAGCACATTTCTACATTCAAAGTAGTATGCATGGATCAATGGAAGGTAATTGAGCAAAGGAATTTCAATAATAAGCTTGTAATTACTTCTGATCTATGTCAATTTGAAGTCAATGGACAAATCAGACGCTACAGTTGCCGCTTGTGTACGGCCCTGACTGAAGGGTTTGAATAGATTTTCATTCTGCTTCATATCAGCCTTCTGACTTCAAAGTTTAGTGAATATAAGTAAACTATATTGCTGTGACTGTGACTTTATGGAGTGATTCATCCAACATGTTATTAATACACTCACAGCAAAGGGAGTGCTATAATGAAAAAACACACATTAAAAAATGAATAGAAGTGGGCTGCCTTATGAAAAATGACGTCAAAGATAGATAGATTGATACATCTGAACAGTTTCAAAGTGCAGCATACCATATAGTTTTAAAATAAGAATGATAACAACAAGATGAATTGCTCATTGGTAAATCTTCTCTTATTTAATTCAACAGTTGGCTACTCTGGTCATCGGACTGCTGTATTCAGTTATTTCTCTTTATTTAACCAAGAAGTCCCATTAATTAAGATAAAGATTGCCTTTTGCAAGAGAGACCTGGCCAAGAGTCAACACAAGTAGCCTATAATCTAAAAACTATGTTACCTCCCTAGAATTATATCTACAACTTTTCCTCATCATCAAATCAAAGCCAAACACAACTTGTCCGGGTCTAAATCATAATATGGATTAAGATGCAAAGAAAAATTACCAACAATACAGCAGGGAATCCATGTAGGGACCAATCTCTTCCGAATAGCTCCCAAAAATCCCCATTCTAAACATTCTAAAGTAATCCTCATTTTGACCTACAGGTACAGTCCTAATACTATTTAAATTCTTGGGTGCTATCTATCATGTTATTTTTTATAATAGGGCTGCACAAAATATTAGAAAAAAATATTGTTATTATGATAATGGAAAGTGCAAGATTGACATTGCAATCAAGTGCAATATTTAATCATGTTTTTTTTCCATGCATAAACTTTTGCTGCAAGAGCAAATCTCTCTGGGAAGAACCAAATGCAACATTGCAGTATTTCATTCCAATTGCACTTTTTTCACTTTTTTTCTATTTTGTGTTGCCCTATTTCATTCATCAATATATCAAAATCTGTAAAACATAAAGTGGGATATTCATGTATATAGATAATACCGAAGACAAATCTGATCCTGGATAAAATAAAGTTGAAATGCCCTGACAGTATTCCACATGCTGCTGCCCTCTACAGGTGTCGGTGGAGATGGACATGGCCAAACCGGACCTCACGGCTGCTCTGAAGGACATCCGCTCCCAGTACGAGAACCTGTCTGCCCGAAACCAGGCCCAGGCCGAGGACTGGTACCGCTCCAAGATCACCACGGTGTCTGAGGCTGCGGCCCGCAACCAGGACGCCATCAAACACACCAAAGAGGAGCTGACCGAGTACCGCAGGCAGGTGCAGGCGCGCACTCTGGAGATCGAGGCTCTCAGGGGCCACAACGAAGCTCTGGAGAGGCAGATCGGAGAGATGGAGGACCGCCACAACCAGGAGATCGGAGAGCTGCAGGTGAGGAAGGGGCGCATCCCAGCTCACAAGAAATATCTCCATATTTGTCCTTTCATCTAAGACAGAGTAGCTTCAGGTCTGGACAAGTGAAATTCATGATAACTATTCCGTGAATTTAAGATGAGATAAGAGGACCTTTATTTGTTATTGATATTGCAGAAAAGTTGAATATGTTATGGCGATTTGACTCCATCATAAATATTGTGTTGTGTATTCAGGAATTGAATACAGATCATTTGATACATACACAAACATACATATCTCTTGTGCAGGACACCATCCAGCAGCTGGAGGGGGCGCTGCGCTCCACTAAAGGAGAGATGTCCCACCACCTGCGCGAGTACCAGGATCTGCTCAACGTCAAAATGGCTCTGGACATCGAGATCGCTGCCTACAGGTCAGCAACACTGACCACAACAGAACACTGTACACACACTGACCCCAACAGAAAACTGTACAAACACTGACCACAACAGAACACTGTACACACACTGACCACAACAGAACACTGTACACACACTGACCACAACAGAACACTGTACACACACTGACCACAACAGAACACTGTACAAACACTGACCACAACATCAGAAAATAACAAACACTATTTCTACTTTGTCCTCTACACTTTAAAAAACATGTTTGAGGAAAGGGACTAGTTAATGAGCCAAGAGCAAGCATTAAGTTTCTTTCCAGCTGCTGTGTAGACCAAAATGACAAAGACACAGAGAAGAAAAAGCAAAGTTTTCCTACATTTGACTTTAAATGATTTTTTCAAAACCATTCATGTTTACCATGTTTAGCAACTTCCTGTTCTAATATAACATGGTGATGTGTAAGAGACCTTTAAAAGTAACTTTATAATCCAAACTGTTGTTGTGTGTGACTATGGTGCTGTTTCACTGAGGGGACCAGAGCTGTTACAGTTTGCAAAAAAAAAGTATAAAATAAAACAAAACACCCTTTAGACTCCATTTGTGAACTGAGCTTTCAGAAACTCACACAGGGACAGACCACTCTGAATGATGTCCCGAAAGATGACAGAGACATCAATAGAAGTAGTGTGAGATTTCTTATATTTTACTTAGGATAAAAGAAGAAGCTTTCAACCTTCTTCAATAAATTGTATAACCATTTTTTAAAAAATACATATTGCTGCTTTTTAAGAGTTTGAATAACACACTGTGAAGATAACCAATAGTTCAGTGACCTTTAACGCTGGCTGGCCTCAGACTCCACCTATGTGTGACTCAATGAATACATGTTGGACAAGTTCCTCATGGTCCATTAATGTACAGCAATAGTTGACATGTAACGACGTGTGCGCCCCCTACAGGAAGCTGCTGGAGGGCGAGGAGTGCCGCCTGAGCTCCGTGGGAAGCTCCGCCGTGCAGTCAGGATACTCCGGCTTCTCCTACATGTCCCCGCGCAGCTACACCCTGGGCGCCTACCGCAGGTCCAAGCCCGAGGAGGAGGAAGATGAGGCTGAAGAGGAAGACGAGGAAGAGAAGGAGGGAGAGGAGGAGGAGGGAGAGGAGGGAGAGCAGGGAGAGGAGGGCGGAGACGATGAAGAGGAGGGCGGAGATGAGGGTGAGGAGGATGAGGAGGAGGAGCAGAAGGATAAGAAAGGCAAAGATAAGGATGACAAGCAGGACAAAGAGAAGGACAAGAAGAAGGACAGCTCTAAGGATAGCCCTAAGGAAAGCTCTAAGGATAGCTCTAAGGATAGCTCTAAGGAAAGCTCTAAGGAAAGCTCTAAGGATAGCGCTAGCTCCAAGACCAGCAAAAACTAATTCACACACATTCAGGCTGCGGTGGAGGCGATGTGAGTGGGACGAAAGAGAAAAATGCAATATACAGTTTCCACCAGCTCCGTTTGGCCATAATCTATTCTACTGGAGAGACCATGGATTCATACTCCGACCTATAGACTGTAGAAAATCGTAGTAGAGTAGAGTAGAGATCGAACAAGGGCTGGTGGAAATGGGCCAATAGACTTTTTGCAACACTAGAATCTATACAGGGCGGCTCGATTATCCCAGATTTGATCCTTATCTACTAGTTTTGTTAGCAGGGTCCCTCGCAGTCAGCGTTGAACACATCTTAATCAGTATTCGTCTGGATTTGAATATGTTTTTTACTCTTGAATTCAGGTTTGCCAGTGGAACAAGCAGCGCAATTGTAAGTGAGAAATTGCTTCCACTTTTTCCTCAGATGAAGATAAGTCACTTTATGCTTGTCCCAGTGGCATTTTTTAAGACCGTGGACGATATATTCAAATTAGGATCAATACGAATGATTACAAACAGTAGAATTTTTCGCTTTTTGCAGCCAATCACTAACACATTGCATTTCGTACCTACTCCACCAGTCATTCAGCTCATGCCTCAAAATCACACAGAGGCCTGAGTGGAACAAAACTCAAGTTAAATAAAATGTTGCACTATTCTCTATGCCAGAAGTACACGTAAACGATACTCCATAAATGTTGCATAACGTGACTTTATCAATCACAATCCTCAACGTTTTTCAGTCATTACTCTTCTTCAGCATCATTTATAATCAATCAAGTTAAAACTAATATCAAACATATCTGAGCACTTCCATTTGAAAACTACTTTTATAGTTACAAGGGGATACAGACAGTTATATTAGCATAGGAACCATAGTGTATTTACAGTCAAACTATTGAAGTCATTTGCGGAAATTGCTGCTCTTTCGTCCCATACACACGACTGCAGCCTCTGGCTCATGCACCCACGCACCAATCCACTGTCCAAAAGCTGTACTCAAACATTTCCCAGCCATTAGACCTATAAATATTGAAGTTATGGAGGCGTTAGACCAAGCTGTTCTTGTTTTGATGTAGGATTGCCAGATTTAAAGAACGTAGCCTGCTTGTGTTACATGCTCTGGGATGTTGTTAGGAATAGAAATCGACAATGCAATCTGAATCATTCCCATTTAAACACATTTTCAACTTTATTTTTCAACTTGACAACCATTTAATCTGGGTTGAAGGATTCCAGTCGTTCTTGATATGACAAAGACCGAAGCGATTTGGTCTCAAGACGACAACTGAAACATCCCAATCTTTTTTCTGTTTATTTTTTTTATGAATAATTGCGATTATTGGCCCTGCTTTTTCCCCTCCTCAAAACTAGCCAAGCATGAACTGTACAATCAGCCATTTGAAAGCAACAATATTTTCAGCACACAACTGTAAAAGAAAGAAAACAACAACGCACACTTTAAATCAAACAAGAGACACAGCCAACTTCAACGGTGCTACTTTGATTTTTACATACAGTAGAAGCGAAAACCAGCTCATTCCAGATAGTGTCAACTTTTACAGAGGTCTATCCTTGATAAAAAATGGCTTTCCCTTCTCCATAAACGCTTTCGATCCCCACCTCGACACAAGAGTAATGTACGCTGCCATTTTCGAGCACTTTTCCTTTTGTCACTGTAGCGTCACGGCACGGCAATAATGTTGACTGATTTCATGTATATATATATATTGATGGGGGAAATATAATGTTTTAACGGGGAGGGGCAGGGTTTTCGTCTGCAGGAAGCCGCGGGGGGTGCATCTGTGGGAATGATCGAATATAAAGAGTTTAAATAGAAATCGCTGCTGCTATTTATATTTTGGGAATATGAATTATTATCCCTCCTTTTGATTGGTCCGTCTGTCACCAGCGCCCATGTCATGTAGAGAACAGTATAGGAAACAGTATAAGAAACAGTATACGAAGCCACATAGATGCTTAATGGTATAGAATGAAGCAATAAGAGCAACTTAATTTAATCTCAAAGAAATATAGTGGACGTGATGAAGGCAAAGCTAAAAAGTAACATTGAAGGTATTATGTGTTTCTTGCATTTTGTCTAATAATACATATAGCTTTGCCCACACTGGAAAAACTGATCCCATATAAGTTTGTAAATACTTGAATCAACTTAATTTGATTCAGGTAAATTTGATTTTCCAATGGGATAACCAAAAAGTTTTTATTTGAAAGGTGATACCATTTCTACCTCAGTCCAAGTAATAACATAAGCTTGTCCCATTGGCCTAACATGTTTTAATTACGAATCAAATCAGTTATTTTTTGCAGTGCACACTAATCTAACAACAGTGCAGTGTCAAAATCCAATTGCGCCTTCACTCCCAGCCCTGGATCTATAGGAGTGTTTTATGGAGTCAAGGCTGGTCGTTGTGCGGCAGGTGAAGGCCCCCAAGTGCAGGTGCATCTGGCAGTGACACTGACACAGGCCCATCTGCTCGTGGCAGGCGGCTCCAAACGCACTGAAGTTCACGGCTAAATATATATCACAACTAAGGGCTACAGTATAGTCGCAATCAGCACATCACACCACCCTCCCATCCCAAGGAAAGGCGGTGACAGACGGACCAGTCCAAGGGCGTTGAATGCATGGCCTGATTCTTGGATGGAATAGATTTCTGCTTGTTGTGTGAAGTATAAATCTTGCCTTAAGCATTTGCTGCATAAAAAAAAGACACAAACGTTTTTGTCTGTTGTTTTGAAATAAAATCAAAATGGGGGAAGGAGGTATGGACGAGGAGCGCCGACACTAAACCGAACCATTCCTGCTAAAACTACTGTGATCTGTATGTGCTGCTCTGTCACGCAGTCTGAGTCTCAAAGCCAAATAAAGACATTTATTAACCAAAAATCTGTGTTACTTATTATTGTTTGAATAATCTATTGCATGTATCAACTGTTTTATGTATAGGCCTATGTGGAGCTACATACTTTATAGACATGATACCAGAAGAATAAAACTTCAAAAACCACCATGTAATAATATGATATGTACGAGTCAGGTTTGTGGAAATGCAAGTGCTCTCACGTTTAGGACATTATTTTGACATAATTATATATAGTTCTGTAATGACTATAAAGACACTCACTTTGTGTTGCTGGTGTAAAACGTACAAAATCACCAATTGTGTCTTACCTCACATCTCATACGGTTCAATTACGTTATAAGGCCACCTGCGAAAACCTTATCCTGTCAGAGTCCAGAAGCTAAGCAGGACAGGGCCTGGTTAGTATGTGATCGGCGACCACTGGAAACATGCAAGACCCTAACCCTAACCCCACATTGCCTGGTATGAGTCTGGTGTGTGTTAAATATTGGTGGTGGTCGTAGGGGCCAATGGCACAGAGGAGCAGCCTCACCTACATCAGTTTGCCCCAGGGCAGCTGTGGCTTGAGTAGTAGTTTACCACCACAGTGAATGGGGAGTTTGAATAATGGCATTAAAGCACCTTTGGGCGTCATGACTATTACATTATGATTCTCCACAAACATGACTTGTATTTTCCTTCTCTTCGTTCTCTCGTCATGTTGTTCCTACAGCTACACTCTTCCACTGTTTGACTATTCCATTGAGAATACTCCCATGTATCATGCAGGTGATTTTCCGCCTCCAGAATACTATATATACACACTATATCGTGTGTAGCTTTAAGTCATTTTAAGACAAGCTTGCATTTTTTCACTGCACTCCAGGGAGCCCTGTACCCCTGGTTGGGAAACATACAACACAATGCACTTGGTCACATTTTAGAGCTGATATCACGGGACAAAACCTGGGTCATTATAGAATCCATATTAAAGCCATGCCCACAGTACACTTTTTATCATCGCATCAGCTTTTTCTCTTGCAATGGCCTTAATCTGAACGCACAATAACTATTCGCCATAATATCTGATGCACGACTGGGCAAATTGCATAGAAATCTGTAAGTGTAAGGCACGTGGCTAATGGAACGTTAAATGGGCAATAAAGTGCTTTTAAATTAGGGGTTAGCTGCTACACTGTACGCTGGCACCAAACACAATATACACAGGTTTGTCTATAAAACCTGTTCACACGTGCTTATACCAGCGCAGATTTAATTTACACGCCCTGCACACGTCAACATGTGTCCCTTTAATGTCCTCCACTGCGGCGGACTGTGCTCCATCTTGCGCATTTATCGCGTTGAGCTGATGTATGAAGTAATATCCCGGTTTTGCCAGCGCAGCCTTGTGGGAAGAATAAAAAGACGTTAAATGCTTGTGCAGGACGTCCCAGAGCGGTAAAGAGCACATGCATCACGTCACGGGCTGCTGTGCGTGAGGAGGGATTATGAAAAGGTTATTGTTTGGTCAAAAAAGGAGAGATTAGAAAGAGTTGAAAGAGAGCCTAAGGGTAACGTTAAGAGTCTATAGGCGCACGTGAAGGACACACATGACGGTATGTGGAAGCCCCGATATTCTATCAATTGCTGTGATGACAATAAGGCAAGGCAAGGCAGGTTTATTTGTACAGCACCACATAGCAACTCAAAGTGCTTGACAAAACATTTAAAAAAGCATTAAAATCCTACATGGCAGACAGAATCCTTTAGTTGTATCCACAGCTGAACAAAACTGTTTAGAACCGAGATTTTAACTTTGTCAGTGTAGAAGCCTGCCTCACATTTGCAGGACTGTTCCAGATTCTGAATTCCGGCCTCCCCAATATTTAGTCTTGCCTTTGGGCACAAGCAGGAGGCCAGTCCCTGTGTTTATGAGAAAATAATTAGACCAAAGTTGATACAGTAAGTACTCACAAAGAAGATGTAGAAAGTTGTGACCACTTTTGTTTCATTTAGATTGGTCCAGGGACAAACAAATGCTACACCTTTCTTTGGTGGTAGCATAGGGATGAGGCAGGTCGATTGTATCATTTGCCCTTCATACTTGTTTCACCATATATTTTTACCTTGTTAATT